AAAAACATAACTATTTATAATGCTCCCTAAATAATAAAAAAAATAAATTACAGTGAAAGCAATGAAGTAGGCATATTTATGAAGCAAAACACCGTGAGAAAAACCTACAAGCGGTCTTGTGGAACACCTCTTCTCAATAGTGTGTATTATTAGCCATCGGTATACATCAAGATTAGAGGGTTCAGCCTCTACCTGAAGTAACTTCAGTGGGACATCCCAACCAGCCCTTAAAGCACATGGGGTATATTTGTACCCCAAACATCATCATGCCATGTGGTTGAACTGCACAGCAGCTAGAGTGTATGGATTACTGGCTGATGCCATGTGCAACCTCAGTTCTAGAGCCAGATCCACACAACTATAAGGAGGAATGCCTGAGCCACCAGGCACTAGATAATATATCCTGGTATGACTTATGGTAGGCCATAAAATTCAGAATTTTGTGACTGATATACAATAAGTATACCTCGACAGGCAACACTTGCCACTGAATGGGTCACAGTCGAACCGATGTTTCAAGTATGGCAACAAGTGGGAGACGGTACCCAGACGAGGAAGAAATGGCCACCCAATGAAGGTAGTGGGAGATTAATATATCAGGGGTAGTCCACATGCCTGACCAAAGAATCTCCTTCAAAGGACAACAGGGAATGAGACACCAGGGAGAAGGAATGCAATAACAGGGAAATGGTAGGAAAGGAAAACACAGAATGGTACTTGGAAAAATGGAAGACATTAGACAAGGCTGCATGACAACCCATAATGGATGAAAGAGAAGCACCATGAGAGGAAATCTGCTAGGAGAAGGACAGTGGGCTAAGAAGGAAATGAAATTGTAAAAGACAGAATACACATAACACAGAAAGGTGATTACACTAGCTCTTTCAATACAGGGTCAGTCGATGGGACTGAGCTTGTAACTACAAGGTAACCATCAAAGTTTCCATACTGTAACTTATGTGTTTTGTGTATCTTCACAAAATTTGGCAAGCTTTAAGTAAACATTACAAGTCTTTTGTACACAAAAAATTTGAGTTTTTTAATCAAGTATTTTTACTAAAGATTTGTCTATGAATATATGGAATCAGAGTAATGACTGCTCAGAATACAAAGTGATCTTCATGTTAAGATTAAAAATACTTTTATTTGTCTGAAACTTTTAAAATTTCATCTTACTATGATGGACATAGCATGTAGTCAGTATCAATGTATGTAACCAAAACTCCTGCACCATCTATTGAATGGCACCACAAACAAAAATTCATAAACAATTTCACACACCAGGTTTTCAAGATTCACACAATTATAAAAATAACTTTGGTATGTACAAGAACCATTTCTTTATAATAGAACAGAATTTTAAATAAGAGTAGTCTCCTCACAACAAGGACACGACTTTCACTAGGATTGTCCATGAAGGTTTGATTACATCTTTATTGATGTAAGTTTAAATGTAGTACTAAGAAACTGGACTTCTTAAAAAAATATCATTTTTTCAGTAAACTGTACCACCATTTTTAGTATTTAAAAACATTACATTTTATATCAGTAAAATTTATGAACATTTTGAGCTCTGTACATCGAATAATTTGGATGCAATGAATTTCATATGACTAGAGATCAATCTGAACACTTTTTCCATACAGTTCTTCCCAGAAAAAAAAATGTTCACTTTTTCTAAATTTTTTTCAATGAGGTATGAATACTACAATTAGTAATTACTAGCACAAACAGCCACCCATAGAGCAGTGCTAGTTTGAGTAACATGTAAAACTCCTAAATTAATATCAAGTTTTTTTTCAGTAAAACTTTATATCTTATCTTTTATTTTCTCGACCATAATCCTATGCAGGCTGGGTAGATTTGACCAACCTTGTAATAATCATAAATAAATCTAAATTACCCTTTTTTTTTCTTTTCAGAATGACTGCAGATTGTAACAGAAAACTACAACTGTTTATCCTTAATAGCTCCAGGCTTATAACAGTCTACATCTGTTTATACTTAAATTTATTGCTCTTTGAACTGTATCTAACTAATAGTCCCACCACACAAGTTGTATATTACTCAGCTAACGGATAGCTGACATTACAGTATTGAATGATGTAATGCATAAGGTACACACAAGCATACCTCATGAAGAATTATAATCATTATCTTACCTAATCTAACCTTATCTAACATAGTAAGTTTTAATTTTTACATTTTAGTTTCTTTTATAACAATAAATAGAAAATACACATGAAATACTAGAGATATAGTTCTTGCATTTAATATCTTGCTTTTTTTGTTGTCAGATAAAATATAAGCCACTTCTTTTAAAAATGATGGTACTAGTGCAATAAATTCTTATTTACTTAAATAATGCACCTAAGAACAGAGAATAATAACACACACAAAGCAAGCAATGTTCTGAAACAATTATAATATAACTGGCTCTCTAGCTAAGACAAGATGGGCTTAAATTAATTCTCTTAGCTGCTCAATCTGAACACCATGATATAAACTTTCAAACTAAAGACAAAATTGACAATATTCTGTTTTGAAAACAATGTAACAACATACATCATTTGTTAGATTAAACTTTGCCTTTCTATTGATTATAAGTACAATATTAAACTTAGAAGAGAATCATTAACAATTTGGAAAAAGAGAATGTGACAGGTGGGCATGGTAGGAAGGTTTAATTTCCGAGTTTATGACTCCATAAACAAACAAGATTGAAAGTTATAAAAATTTGACTTTATGGGAAATTTCATACTTCAGAAAGAGATGGTAAATAAATTGGAGAAGGGAGAAGACCTAGAGAACAAATGTCACGATTCTCATACTAGGGTAGATTGAGGATTTTTTTAAATATTTCCCTATAAAATCAAGAACGTAAAAGTTATATAATGTTAAAATCTGATATAATAACTATATTTCGGTGTGAAGCTTATTTGTATACATGGATAATAAAGTAGTGTAATTAAATGTTGAACGTAACTCTGTAAAAGGTCGTGAGAATGTGCACTTTGACCTACCTGTTGCAAGAGAGTTAATCAAAAATTAAGTCACTTTTATCAAAAAAGGGATAGACAAATGTGAGAAGCGCAACAGGTTATGAGAACATATGTTATTAGCTAAGAAAGAGTGGGTTACAGAAGTGCAACAGGTTATGAGAACATATGTTATTAGCTAAGAAAGAGTGGGTTACAGAAGTGCAACAGGTTATGAGAACATATGTTATTAGCTAAGAAAGAACGGGTTACAGCTTCTTCAGTAAAGAAAGAGTGGGTTACAGCTTCAGTATATCTAAGAAAGAGTGGGTTACAGCTTCTTCAGTATATCTAAGAAAGAGTGGGTTACAGCTTCTTCAGTATATCTAAGAAAGAGTGGGTTACAGCTTCTTCAGTATATCTAAGAAAGGGTGGGTTACAGCTTCTTCAGTATATCTAAGAAAGAGTGGGTTACAGCTTCTTCAGTATATCTAAGAAAGAGTGGGTTACAGCTTCTTCAGTATATCGACAATTTACATCATTCCTTAAGCAAATTTGAAGAAAGATGACTGAAATATTGTAAAGGTTACTGATATGAAAATTTAAATGTTTATTGAATGGTATCAAAAAATTGATGGATGCCTATTTTATAGTTTTTATTATGTTTGTTTGGCTAGGAGAAATAACTAGCCTAAATTTTAAGTGAAACCCATCTCCACCCACCATTATGTAAAAGTAATGGTTTTAGTACACCATAATCACAGAGAGAGTGAGAAAGGAGTTAATTTAATAATATGTGACAGATTCACAATTTGAAATGTCTGTCATTTAAAAAATAATTTGATGTAACTTCATATTATAAAAGTGATGAAATTCTTTTCCTAATTATTGTATTAGAGTCCATTCAATATACAAGTTTAAAGCAGAGCTGTAAATTACCTCAAGATTTGCATGAGACAGGTCAGCTCTCTCCAGACAGCAGAAGCTCAGGTTTGCCCACTTCAACGTAGAATTTCGAAGATTGGCATACTTAAAGTTGATATGTCGTAGGTCTAACTTTGATAAGTCTGCACCTTCCAAATTGACTCCCTGAAATATACATGATAATAATAATAATAATACTCCTGTAAAATATCCAATGATATGACAGGATAGTGAAATATACATGATAATAATAATAATAATACTCCTGTAGAATTATACAATTAATTATATTCCTCAAAACCATATCATTCTCAGTAAGTGGACTGTTTGTTAATCTTAACATATAATTTACGCTATGTTTTCATGATGAGAGAAGGTTATTACATATATGAACAACAAGAGACCATCTGGCCCTTTGAGTCTCTCTTAGAAATTGCCCTTGAGAAAAGTAAAGATCTAAACCACCCTGTTTTTTTAAAGAATAATCAATTCCCCTATTAAACTCCTGTAAAGTACTGGCCTCCCATACTTCCAACAGCAATTCATTCAATAAGCCAATCATTATGTT